TGAACTTCCCAATCTGGGTCCTTGCCAGGTAGACAGAATTCAGAAACACCTGAGGCCCGGCCTCAGAAAGGACACTAAGACCTTGTCTGCAGCCTGTAGCTTGGTCAGGCTCAAAGAGTCTCCAGTTTATTATTATGGTCATTTGATTCACAGAGCCAGAGGAATTGAGCACACTAGTAGCAAGCACTCAGGTTGGACTGCAGTTGCCTCTTCAGGGAAATGAGGGACACAACTCATAAAGACGTTACCTGCTGGGTCCAAGGTCACCCCAGCAGACTGAGGCCCAGAAGTCAAACTACCTTAACCTGACCCTTGGTCCCAATTTCCTCTTACTCTTAAGATTCTGTTCTTCATGAGGAAGTGGATTGCACCCTGCTCCTTCCAGCCAGCTTCCTGGCATCTGCCCAGTTCAAGAGTGCTGGCATTAAGCAAGATCTCCTGACACTGAACCAACAAGTGACAGGCATGGACAGGTGGGAGAGTCTCCAACCACGAGAGTACCCCACATCTTAGAAGAGAAAAACGGGGAGCCTACAGAAGTGGTACCAGCAGCCACAATCCATCCCCGCCTCCATATCCCCAGCCGGAATCCAGTCACAGAGCCCTGGGGGGAAGCAAGATCAGATTGGAGCAGAGAATCTGAACGCCGGTCTGCGGTGGTGCTGTCGTCAATTGCTATTGAGTCAGCTCCAACCCATAGTAGCTCTATGCACAACAGACTGAAACAGGGCCTGTAGCCGGGTCCAAGCCCAGGGACAGATTACCCCATAAGCAAAGGGAGCGCATGCCCCGGACACCAGCTGTCCACAGCAAACCGGCAGGGCACTAACTCACATGGCTAGCAGCTCCAGCGCCGGGGAATGTGTTAGCTGGAGGATGCCCACGAGCAAGGTGTGTACGTCACCTGGCCTCTACCGCTTCAGCACCTTCACTGGTGTCCGTCTCTCCTATGGTCCTCCTCGCCAAGTAACTGAAATCCCTTATTTTAGTGGGTAGCTCTTGGGAATATACTACTTCTTTCTAATCAGCAAGAAAGGAAGGTGGGCTGTCTGGCCCAACTCTTGCTTTTTTTTAAAAAACAGTTTTGTTAATACTTCATCCATGTCATACAATTCAATAATTCAATCAGATCAAAAAGAGTTTTATCACCACATTCAATTCTGGAACATTTTCTTTTTCCTTTTAGTCATTGTTATTTATGTACGTTTTTCTAACTGTGGCAAAAAATATACACAACAAAACAATCTCCAATTTAACAATTTCTACATCTATAATTCAGTGCCATTGATAACAGTCTCCATTTGGGGGGGTGGAGGGAGGGGGAAAATAAGGAGCTGATAACAAGGGTTCAAGTAGAAAGAAAATGTTTTGAGAATGATGATGGCAACAAATGTACAAACGTGCTTGACACAATGGATGTATGTATGGATTGTGATATGAGTTGTATGAGCCCCCAATAAAATGATTTTTAAAAGAAAAGAAATTTAATCGTCTCCCTTTGTACAACCATTATTGATATCCTTTTCCAAAGTATTCTACCACCATTAAAAAACGCAATGCCCCTAAGCCCAACTCCTAAGAATAAGTTTGCCGTAATATTTGTGCTCTGATCATGAAATTTTCTTTGAAGGCAGCTTTTCATTTGTTTATTCATAATCACAACATTTATTATGTATGAACCAAGTGTCAAATCTGAAGAGTTTGAAGCAAGATTGGTGATCAACAGGATTTCACATTGCTGGTTGACATAGCTCAGTTCCCAGACGTGTGTTCTTTGTGGCAGAATATGTGGAAAGTTCTTGCAGCAAATGTGGGCGCTAGTAAAAATCTTAGTGACTCGCATCCACTAAAATAGTATAATCCAGTTTATTTCATTTTGCTAAAATGGCATATGCCACTTTTTAGTTCAATGGGTAAGATAATTGCACTGAAAAAGAAGTTAGGTCACACATGGCTAAGATACACACACATATGCACACATGTATAACTATAACCCACCTATTCTATTTAAATGCATGAGTTAGCAGAGGAGCAGGGAGTACCATATAGTAGCAATGCAATGAAGTGGCTCCTCCAACTTCACGTGCCTTAATTCAGCCCATTAACAAGCCTAGAAGAATGTGCTAGGCCAATGGGGGAGAGGCTGCTGTCCTGGTTACTCCCTGACCCTGCTTGGCTCACCAACACCTACTCTGTGAGTCCTGGCTCACTGCTCACAGGACTGAGACCCTCACCTCGTGCACACGTCCCAGTCTCTGCCTGCTATACTGCCAGGCCCCTGGGCGGCCCTGGGGTGACTGCACCTCTCAGTGGCTGCTCATTCTCTTTTTGAACATCATCACCTCTAGGCTAGAGGCGGAAATGGAAGAGAAAAATCTGATGTGGGAGAGAGAACCACATCAGTGCACAGCCAAGCCCGCTGGACATCTTTCCAGCCACGCTGAGGGTCCCAGAAAGCCGCCTCTCGGCTTCCCATCCACACAGACACCCTGTGCTCCCCTCCCATTCGGCCCAGGGTCCATGACGGTGTCCTGGAGAGGACTAGTCATACAGGGGAGCACTGCAGGCCCGTGAGCAGGCTATGTCTAGCTGTGGAGAGGCCTGCAGCATTCACCCACTGGCCAGAGAGATGGAGGGAATCTGGCACCTGCCTGGAGTCAGGGGGCAAGTTATTTTTCCACCTTCGCAGAAAGGGGGGAAAGTCTGAGCTATCTCCCCACCTCCCAGTCCTGCTCCTAAAGAAGGTGCCAGGCCACCCACCAGAACAGCAGTCAGGCTTCCAAGAAAGCCACCAGAACTGACGACTCCCAGCGAAACCTAGCAGGCACCCTGTTGGTGTGGAATTACATTCAGTCCCAAGAGGCATCATAATGCCCAACTGCTTCAGGCCACACCCAAATGCTGGCTTGGCCTCGTTCTTTAACCTCCAAGAATAGCTAGTCCTGCTGCCTGTCAGCCAGCCCCTAAAAGCTGGCCCCTTCTAGCCTTCTGCATCTACCACAGAGCTGTGAACAGCGCATGATCAGTAGAACCCTCTGTCTGGTGTGCCTGGTGTGCAAAATCTGGAAAACCCATTATTCTGTTTGAAAGCAAGAGTTACCGCAGAGGCCATATACCACTCTCCACTTTTAAAAAGACAGAGATGCACGCCGATGAAAGTTATGTGGCATATAACGTCACTTGGCTTTGATGATTCAATTTGGAGGTACCTGGGGATCTGACAGTGCCTTGGGCATCGTTTGGATGTTGTTTGGAAGGCAGAGGCAACAGAATCCCTGCTTTCCTGCCTCGCTGCAGTACACACCTTGGGAAAACACACTCCAGGTAACAGTAGCAACAGAGATGAAGATGGTGGGAGGGGGTGCAATAGAATGAGGAGGGATTTTGCACGCTTCCCCAAGGAAAGTGCTCATCCCAAGTCTTTCATTAACTATGGAGAACTTCAGGAAGGCAGGCTGAGGCTCCCCTCCTCTTTCACAGCTGACTCTACCTCTCCTGTGGTCAATCTAACAAGAATAAAGGGGGCTGGTGGCACAGTGGTTAAGTGCTCACCTGCTAACAGAAGGGTGGGCAGTTCGTACACACCAGCGACTCAGCAGGAGAAAGATGTGGCAATTTGCCTCCCTAAAGATTCACAGCCTTGGAAACGTTATGAGGTAGTTCTCTGGAAACACCCAAACTCATGGTCAATTCTGACTCATAGCAAACCAATAGGTCCAGGTAGCATTGCCCTTGTGGGTTTCCAAGGCTGTAAACTTTTACATGAGCAGAAAGCATCATTTTCCCTGCCCCCTTGGGAACAGCTGGTGGATTTGAACCGCTGACCTTGTGGTTAGCAGCCCAAGACATACACCACCAGTCTCACTGTGTCCTATAAGGTCAGTATGAGTTGGAATCTACAACAAGTCTTTGGCTATCCCTCAAAGCCAGGCCAAGACAACTTGTTTGTTGATGGGGAAGGGCAGCTTTCAGGCACGCTCCTCCCTCTAGGTGCTGCCAATGGTTTGTACTCAACAACTAACCTAAAGGTTGGTGGCTTTAAAGTTGCCCAGCAGAGCCAAAGAAGAAAGATCTGGAGATCTGCTTCCATAAGGGCTACAGGCAAGGAAACTCCAGGGAGATCTACTTTGTAGCACATGGGTTCCCCATGAATCAAATCGACTCATGGGCAGTGGGTTTTGACTTTTTCGTTTGGCCTCTCTCTGAAAAAAAATCCATTAAAAAAAAAAAAAAAAAAAAGGAAAGCAAGCCAAGGAGCTCTAGACGCGATGAGGGCACCAGTCCAGGGCGGCCCAGAACAGAGGTGGCTGATCAGATCTTTAAAGTCAGTCTCCAAGCAGGTAGTCAGGAACCGGCTCAGGCAGAGTGCTGAGAGCCTCCTGCAATCCCTGCTGGCCAGGGGGTTGGAAGCCACCTGGAAACAAACCCAGCTTCCCTTTGCCACTGCTCTCGGCAGGAGCTTGTTGCTGGGGCCTGTGAAAGTTACTCAGGAGAGGCGAACGGTCCAAGATGCCTGGCAGAGAGGGGCCATGGGCCTGGGGCCTGGCATCTTACCAGCCCTGGAGCTGGACCCTTGGACTTCCCTTGGGAAGCTGGGGTCTGTTGGCAGCTGCACCGGCGAGGGGGTGGGGCCGCGGTAGATTTGAGGACCCTTAGCAGGGAGCGAGTGCCAGTGGGTAGAGAAAAGAAGCGCCTTAGTACAGACCAAGCATCCATCCCTCCCACCTCCATCCTCAGGGACCAATCTCCTCTGGCCGGGGAGGAGAGAAGCAGGGGTTATTATTCCAACAGGTCCCCCCTCAGAACGGCCTCCTTGGGCCAGCTTTCCTTCACCCAGCCCTGAGGCCCCAAATTCAGGAACGTCAAGGCACCTGCAGTTAGACTGGGCTCCGTCCCAGCGGGAGGGGTCCTGGGCGGTGCCTTCGGGCGCTCCCAGGCCGCCTCGGAAGGGGCGGGGCGCTTCCGGCTGGCGCGCCCCCGACGCCCCCTCCCCGGCTCACCTGGCGCAGGTGCTGCAGCAGCGTCCCCGCCTCCTCCCGCCGGCCCTGGCGCACCATCCGCAGCAGCTCCTGGACCATGCCGACTCGCCGGTGGTAGGGGGGCAGCCCGGCGCCCGCACCCCCGCGCCCCGCCTTGTCCCCA